AATATATCGTAGTATTTTAAAAAAGAAATAATGAAAGTGCATTTAATTCCTTACTTTGTATTCGATTATGCGCTAAAAGCAAATATAAACAAAAAGATTAAATAATGAAAGAAGAATAATTTAAAAATTATGAAATTATCATCATTTTCTATCATAAATGAAACTCACAAAGAATAGAAAATAATAAGAGAAAAATAGATATAGGATAAGAAGTAAACGCCATCTCTTGACAATTAAAAATATTTTTTCAAAAAATCTTTCTAGAAATGTTCAAAGATGACGCTGAAAGTTACTTCTTATACTATCTCTTATTATTTTCTATCCTTTCTTTGTTTCATTTATGATATTCTAAAGATGGCACTAATTTCACAATTTTTAAATTATTTCTATCTTTTTCTCCCACTATTTACTCTTCTTGTTTATTTGTTTTGTCTGATATAAACATCAACAATTAAGAAATGACTCCAATATTCCATTATAAATATATAAGTATATTAAGCTTTTGATTGAAAATTTCGTAAGTATACTTCAAATTTTTATTATTCGAATGATACTTGCTTTTACTACATTTTAAAAAATTATTAATAAATGCATAATTTTTTATCATTCATTTATTGATTCTATTACAAAAATTTCGTTTCTTATTTTAGTTAAAAGTAATCAGTAGTATCAAGTGAATATTTAAAATATTTTATATTTTTATAATATAAAGATATTTATTCTAAATTGAACTTATTGTTATTATAATTAAAAAAGAGGACTATGAATTTGTTATGCTTATTTGTTTTTTTATGCCATAAATATTGTTAATTTACATATATAAAAATAACTTTTTTATATCATTAAGATATTTGTTTATAACCACACAAAAATATAGAAATACATAATAAATTTATAATAATTTACTTGGTAATGTTAGCAATTCCATAATTGGAGAAACAGTTTTTTTTTCATGAATTACATGACGTTTAAGAATGCTCAAAAGTTTTTGATATAAGAAGGAATGCCTGTAAAATAAAAATATAAGATTCAAATTTCGTAATTTTATAATAATTACAAAATAAAAAATAAAAAAATTTAAATTATTACCTGCTAGCTGGTTTACATATAGACAAATGATCTTGTGCAATTTCATAAAATTCGCCTACTCCAGGGTCTAAAAATAAATAAAAATAAATATTATAATTTTTATTAAGAAATTTATAATATATAAAACTATATTAAATTATGATTTTTTTAAATCATACCTGCTGAAGTGGATGTAACAAATTGAAATGGAACATTTAATGGTGTTACATGGGTAGGTTTAGTTTCGCTAAAACTAACAATTTCTATAGGATATTCCTTTAACATATCGAGAAATTCATTGTGCAATTTTAATAATTGTGGCGATTCTAAACATAATCATAATTTTTATAAATATATTTAAAAAATTAGTATCGTTATATAGTATATATATAGTATATATCGTTATAGTATTTAGTATACCTTCACGAAGTTCCTGTACTTCAATTGATGGCCATAACACCATTTGTGTTGCCTGTTTTAATGCAGCTACACGAGAACCTCGATGTGGAGTACTATAAAATACTATACTGCGTGTATTTTTACATACATTATTTTTATCGCCATTTTTCCATTCTAAAAAAGTCAATTATATTTATATTATTATTATTATATATTATATATAAATTTATAAAATTTATGAAGATATTTTATATGGTGAAACCAACCATCTACAAGCATTTTTTTTACTAATAAACCACCCATTGAATGACAAACCCAAATCATAGGTCGTTTTCCAATACCCGCAGTTAATAATTTTTTTATATATTCTTCACTCCTTCCAGCCATAGTAGCTCTAATCAACAAATAATATAAATAAATTACAAATATTTAATGGTTAATTAAAATAATAACATTAATCATATTTACTTTGCACTCTCTATTGGACATAGAGATGTCCACATTGACAAATTAGTATCATAATTTATCCCAATAACTCGAATAAATGGTACATCATCTGGTAACCAATCTTTAGGCCAACATTGTGTTTTATGTTGCTTATCATGGAAAATTTTCTTCATACAAGCATCGTTTCTAAAATCAGAAATTTTAAAATTTTTAAATTTTTAAATAAATTTTACTTTAAAATTATATAAATATCTTCAATGAAATTTTAAATAGATTTTAAGAATAAAATTGTACCCATTGCAGGAAAATGGTCCATTTCCTCTGGAACTATTTTGAGGACAATCATCTAAAATTATTTCAAAATCTTGTCCTATTCTATCCCATTCGCGTTTTCTTAAATCATAAGTTAAATCTTTCAAAAATTCTTGAGAGTGATCATCTATCAAATTTGAAAAATCAATTCCATCTTGTATAAGATATGGATCTATAAATATAATAATATATATATTATAAATTTTTCAATATTAATTTTAAATTGATATTTATTAGAATATTTATTTGTAAATTACTGAATTATTAGAATATTGATGTAAAATTTTTCACATTTATTAGATTATATAATAACAAACCTACAACTCCATCTTCAGATGTATCAAGATTTCTTTGTCTCCATGTTATAAATACACCACCAAGTAATCCATGTAAGAAAATAACATCCAAATTTATATTTGTTGTAGTTTTATGCAAAGGATGAAGAAGATAGATACATCTTGGATATTTAACAAATTTATTTTCATCGATATCTAAATTTGCTAATGCACGACTAGCTGGTGCTGATAATCTTACATTACTACTTTGAGACCACTCTACCAATGTACCAATCCAACCTTGAAATGGAAACTTAAATAATGCATAATGCACTTAGAGAATTCTAAAATTTTATTTTACATATATACCTGCTTGAAAAATATCTTGCAAATATTTTGAATGAAGTGAAATATTAGAAATTATTTTTGCAAGTAATATACACATATTAGTGTTATCATTAAAAATTTTCTTTATTATCATTAGTAATGAAAGACCACCACCATCAATGATATCTAAATGAAAAAAAAAATTAATTACAAATAATTTTAAATTGCTATATCTATTTGTTACTTTACCTTTGCTATATTGCTCAAGACAAGAATGATGATATAGTGCTTGTACACAATTCTGTAATAATTCTTGATCCCATACTGTGGCTGGTGCTACAGCCAGCCCTAAGTTTGTTAAATCGTGATCAAGTATCAGACTATCCTGTTTTTATACTTTGTAAATAATTAAAATGCGCACAAAATAGTTTGCACAATAGAAATTAAAATATTTTTTATAATATATACTTACAGAAGGTGTATCTTTAAAATTTTTATTAAGAAACTGAATAAGACATGGATGTGTATTTTCACATAATGTGCTTAAATGAAGAAGTAATTGATGTATTTTTTCTATTACATCCTATGAAAATATAATTTTTCATTAAACATATAATTCAAATATAATTCAAATAATTAAAATAAAAAATTGCTACAATACATACATGTAATTTATGCTGTACATGATAATATGGTGGCTTTAAAAAAAATCTTGAATCAACATTTGGCATTCTTGCAAGTGAAATTGCAGTTTTGGCATCCAACATTTGTGCAATATGTTGATAATGCCAACCTATAATTTTTAATTAAAAATATAAAAAATATTATATTAATATAATATAAAATATTAATATAAAATATTAATTATAAAATAAATGAAAAAATACTTTTTAAATGTTTCAAGGAATTAAGAGTACAAAGAGCTTTCAAACGTTCTCTAACATTGCCATGTTGTGCAATGTATAATAATTTGTATGCTACATTACGAGTTAATGATTTCCACCATTTCATTACAGTATGATTGAATGAAAGAGATTGTACTGGCACAGATGATTGTAAATTTTCAACTTTTCGTAACATGAGTACATCTAAAAATATAATAAAAAGATTTAAATTTATTCCACATAGGATTATTAATAAATCATTATATCTAATATATAATTTTTCACAAATACCTTTGAATCGAGGATCATCAACATAAATATATTGAGTATGTGGTTGTTCCAAGCTCAAGATATTAGTAGGTACAGAAGATTGTAAAATTTGTGATACCTGTCGTAATTGATATAAAAACCAACAGCCACTATATAAAAAAATATTTATAATATTATTTCATTATAAACAATATTTATAAAAATGCAATGAACATAACTAACCCAACAATAACAATAGAAATCCCAGTTGATTTTACATACTCTATATATTTCTTATAAGTTTTTAATCTCATTGTAAAAAAAATTATATTCTATCAAGAACATATATATATTCATATAATCTTAATATTTAAATGTTATAATACATACATATATATATATATATATATGTATATATGCCATGTGCCAAAAATAGTCAAAATCGAGAATAGATAATTATTTTACGATCACACTTATATATTTGTACATAATTATTGAAATATTACAATATTCATTATATTTTATTTACTTTTTATTTAATATTTATAATACTAGAAAAAAAACAATTTATTAATGTCATATTATTTATCAATATATTTAAATATAATAGACATCATAGTATGTTTAAAGTTTAATGTTCATGACCAACAGGATAATGATAAGAAATATTTATAACCAAAAATATTGACAAATATTAGATATAGTAATAAGAAAAATATTTTTATAGTATGATATATTGATACACACACGCAAAAAAAAAAAAAAGAAATTTTTAATAATTCATATATATCGAAAATTTCAAATTCTATTTAAATATGTATATTATATCAAAATTTTTATATTTTTCATCAGTTTTTATTATATATGTTAATTAAGTAATATATAAATTAATAACTGCTTCAAATTAATTATTATAGATTCTATAATAAAATTCCAATAAAAATAGAAAAAAATAATAAAATTACAATTAAATTTCTATGTTACTGCGGATGAAGCATTAAGTAGTATAGAATAAATCGCAAGCAACCAATGCAAATGCGGCTGCGCCTGAATACGACAAGCGGCCTCGAGGCGCTGTTCGCGCACGAACTCTTCAGTCTTTTTGCTTCCCATTTTGTACCGTACAGTACGTCCACCGAAGTACTGACGTTTCGCTGTGCCATCGCATGGCCGACGTGTGCATTCCGAGGTTCACTTTCGCGTGGTACCCGCTGTGTCACAAGTATCACTTTTAAAACGTAACACTTGTGGCAAACATCAACATACTGATCTCAAAGTGAGTGAAAAGTGTGGTAAACGATAGTTTCATTTTCTGGAATAGAACAGTAATTCTTTGTCGAACACGTTCTTTCTGACATAATCCGGTATAAACTGGATTGAAGCAGATTCATCGATAAACGGATTGATCATTCATTTCAGAGAAAAATTCCTAGATCCGGCTTTCACGTCGACGTGGACCACCTTTCCAGGCTTTGTCCCGTTGGTGATAAACGATTAATTTAGTAGCAACTCATAAGCCGCGACCACGCGACACAACGCGCAGCTATGTCCAACGAGGAGACTTCCGCCGACCGCAATGTCGAAATCTGGAAAATCAAGAAACTTATAAAAAGTCTCGAAATGGCTAGAGGGTAAGTAGGTCGAAATTAATATTGCCGCGCCTTTTCTTATCAGCTGTTCGATTTTCTATCTGCACATATGCTTTAAAAAGCATGTGGTAAATAAGAAGTAACGAACTTTCGTTTCTAATCAGAAAATGAATTTTACCTAATATTATACAAAAAATTTTGCAAATTTTTAAAATCCTGAAAAATATGTTATATTTCTTTATTGTCTTATCATTGAATTTTTTATTACATTAAAAAAATATATATTTTATTAATATAATATTAGTACAACCTCATATAAACAGATTGTTTTATAATATAGCGTTATTTATAATATATTTTTATCATGTATCAAATATCTTATTTCACAGAAACGGGACTAGCATGATTTCACTAATTATCCCTCCAAAAGATCAAATATCAAGAGTAAGCAAAATGTTAGCAGATGAATTTGGTACAGCATCAAATATCAAATCTCGTGTAAATAGATTGTCTGTTTTGGGTGCAATTACGTCTGTACAACATAGGCTAAAACTATATACTAAAGGTAATTTTAATAATTTTTTATATTGCAAAATTTATATAAACATTAGATATATTTTTAATTATTTTATTATATTTAGAATTAAAAATTTACAAATGAATTTTTATCACTAATATTTATCATAAATATTTTCTTCAAAAGCATAGCAATTATGTATAATTATATGTTGATAATATTAATTAGATATTATTATATATTTTAGTGCCTCCAAATGGCCTGGTGATATATTGTGGTACGATCGTAACAGAAGAAGGAAAAGAAAAGAAAGTTAATATTGATTTTGAACCTTTTAAGCCTATTAATACTTCTCTTTATCTTTGTGATAATAAGGTATTATTTTATAATTTTATAAAAAAATTTTTGAATTAAATTTTGAAAAAAATTTTAATATATTTTGATTTTTTTTAGTTTCATACTGAGGCACTTACAGCATTACTTGCTGATGATAACAAATTTGGTTTTATTGTCATGGATGGTAATGGAGCATTGTTTGGTACACTACAAGGAAATACTCGCGAAGTTCTACATAAATTTACAGTAGATCTTCCCAAAAAGCATGGTACATAATAATATTTAATAAAACATTTATATATGTGTATATATATATATTTTTTTATATATGTTTACTGGAAATTGTTATATTAATTAATTTAATTAAATTTTAGGCAGAGGAGGACAGTCAGCACTTCGTTTTGCTCGGTTGCGTATGGAAAAACGACACAATTATGTTCGAAAAGTCGCAGAAGTAGCTACGCAATTATATATTACTAATGATAAACCTAATATTGCTGGCTTAATTTTAGCGGGTAGTGCTGATTTTAAAACAGAACTTAGTCAATCAGATATGTTTGATCCAGTAAGTTGATGATATATATATATATCTGTATATGCAATTAAGTTTGTAAATATATATTTTTCCAATTTAATTTGAATTTACTGTAATTTTTTATATTTTTTGTTATTTTAGAGATTACAAGCAAAAGTTATAAAATTAGTAGATGTTTCATATGGTGGTGAAAATGGTTTTAATCAAGCTATTGAATTAGCTGCTGAATCTTTGCAAAATGTAAAATTTATCCAGGAAAAAAAATTAATTGGTTAGTATATTTATCATTTATATTTTTAAAAATTCTATTTTAAAAATATAAATTTAAAAAAGTAATGGTGGAATTATTACTTTATTTTAAAAATAATATCAATATTATAATTATCTAGGTCGTTATTTCGATGAAATTTCGCAAGATACAGGAAAATATTGTTTTGGTGTAGAAGATACTTTAAGAGCATTAGAATTAGGTAGTGTAGAAACTCTCATTTGCTGGGAGAATTTAGACATTCAACGATATGTTTTAAAAAATCATACAAATGCAGAAGAAAAGGTTTTACATCTAACACCAGAACAAGAAAAAGACAAAACTCATTTTACTGATAAAGAGGTAAATTAAAAAATTTTAATTATTTAATTAGTAAATTTAATTAAATAAGCATAAATATAATTAATATTAAATATTCTGTATTAAATTTAGAGTGGAGTAGAATTAGAACTTGTAGAATGTCAGCCTTTGCTTGAGTGGTTAGCAAACAATTACAAGAGTTTTGGTGCCACTTTGGAAATCATTACAGATAAATCTCAAGAAGGTTCTCAATTTGTAAGAGGTTTTGGTGGCATTGGAGGTAAGTTTTACTTTTTTTATTGTTTTTGGGGCTACTAACATTATATTTGACTGAAAGTAATATACTTAAAGTAATAATTTGTATTCATCCACTCGAAGTACATACTAACTGAAAAGCGGCTGATTCCACTTTGATTAGCTAACCTGTAAAACAAAAGATATAAGTTTAATGTTGTGTATATATAATAAAACTTTCAATAGATTTTTAAAATGTAGTTGAATCTTGAGAATTTTCTCCAAATATTTCTTCCTTTTTAAAACATTTATTACAAATAAAAAAGTAGTGCAAATTTCAAAAATGTATCTTTATCAAGATATTAAATAAATTCATATATTTCAAAAGTAAATGGTATTAAAAAAAGTTAAAAATATGAGTTTTAATTACGGAGTATATCTTGATGCATAGGAATCCTCCGCTACAAAGTTGATTTCCAGTCACTGCAGGCTGATGAGCCTCTTGATGATGTTGACCTCGATGATTACTAATTTCATCTGTGAAATACTCAAAGTTGACCAGGTAGCTCTTTCTCTGTCTTGAGTGCATTCGTTTACATTTCGTGTATTATAGAACATATTACTTTCAGAACTGGACAAATTTATCAAAATATTTATGAGCCTTATAGTATATATATATATATACTTAAATAAAAAAATAAAATAGCAAAAAAATAAAATAACTACACTAAAATATTATTACATTAATTAATGATAATTTAATTATTAAACCCTCATATGATAACTAATAGTATTCATTAATAATTTAATTGTGTCAATGTACATCAAATAATTTGCATTTTAAGAGTAGACTGTATCAAATATATCATATATTATTTTATGATATAAATCCTATACTCATCATGAAGAGATCAATTTTTACTCAATTGTTAAAAATCATTAATATAATATTATTATTGATATATTATATTATTGAGACTTCAAATATATGCATCAGTATGGAACGATAAATTTGTCCAAAAAAATTTGAAGTTTCTTCTGTTGGATTTCTCACTGAATAGTATAGTTCGATACTTCTGTGCAAATCTGTAGTATATGTATGTCTCTTCTGATGAGTTTGAATGTGAATATAGATATTTTTAGTTGTGAATTTCGAGGTATAATGTTTCCTTTTACAATAAAAAGCCTGAAAACTTTGCTGTCTTCTTTTTTTCTTGGTGGTACAAAAATTAAGAAAATCTTGTATATACATATATGAAATATGGATAATTGTATTTGAAGAGGGTGAGTTGAAGTATTCCAGTTTTCCAATTTTTCTGTCTTGAACATTATTAGACACTGTTTTTTTTAGTGATTGTACGTTATATTATTAGTAATTAAAATCAAACTGTAGGTACAATACACATCAATTTAATTGAAATATGATATTGCTTATTTTCATAAACACAATTATATATTTTTGTTTTCTCATGATACATTTTACTTTAAATTTTTGTTGCATATTTGTATACATAAAATTAATCATAATTTAGATGACACATAATATAATTTTATTGATTCTTGAATTCAATGTAATACATTCTCAAAATATGAAAATATCAAATTTATTATAAAGATATATATTCTATTTTTTGTATTGTCATGAAGATACAACATAATAATACGATATAATAAAGATTAATAATGTATAAAAAATAATTGGATAAAAATTAAAGATAAAGATAAGAAATATTTAATTTTATAAAATATTATTTTACGCATTTTATATATTGTAATAATAATTTAACGAAGTATATATATGCGTATGTGTGTGTGTGTATATATATATATGTGATTTTCGAAATAAAATCTAAACCACTATTTCTTATTTTATTCTGCAATAGATATATATAGAAAATTTTTTTTATTGCATGTAATGCTTCTTAGCTATTTTATAGGCAGATATTTTAAATTCCTTTTTTTTATATATATTTATTATCTTTATTCTTTATTTTTCAATTTTAATAAATTTAAATAAATTTTTTGCAAACGAAAAACATAATATTTTTTAGATTTTTAAATAAATTACTTAATATATACAATTGATTTTAAATAAGAATATAATAAATATCTATTGCATTAAAAATATTATAATATATGATTAATTTATAAATTTTGTTAGAATTATATTTCTTATTAGAATAGATTTATAATTTAATAATGTATATATTTATCTTTTGAAGCTCTGAATTAGAACTTTGATTTAATTCAAATATAGATAGAAGTATTATTATAAAATATTTTATTAAAATTATATCTAATATTCATATAATTATATAAATATGCTTTGTTATTGCTTGTATAAAAAAATAATCATAAATTGTTTGCTGCATGTTATGCAATAGGCAAATATTTATTTCATTACCAAAGATAAATTATGATTTTATGTTCCTTACAAATACTTGAGTAAATATTAAAAACAGAAAATAATATTATTCTTTGGTGATGAATATAAAATATAATTAAATAATCATTGTTCATGTAATAATAGCTAGGCTTTGTTAAATTATTAATCGATTTGATCAAGCATAAGTACTAATTGATGGTTTGTTTCTATTAGCTTGCATATTGGGAAAGGTATAGTAATTGCTTTTTATTAATTTAGTGGAAAAAAAAGCTGTGAAATTATTAAGCCTTATTATTGCACTTAAATATATTTTGCTTTAGAATGTTATACATATAAAAAATGATTCTATTTATTAATAATATATAATTTTTTTATTATTAGAAACAGTATCAATATTTAGTTATAAATATTACATTTATTTTATTTTTGTTATTAATAGTAAGATTATTAATTTATAGAAATAATTATTTAAAATTATAGATTGTAATACATTTAATACATAACAACATGAATAACTGTTTATTTACACTATAATTCTTTATTATAGTGTATTTTATATTGTCTATTATTTTCTTATTATAGCATATATTTTTATAAGTTAGAGTTAAATGCTTTTTATATTTTTAATAAAATTATAAATTAGGATTATTAATTAATATTTTTTAAATTATAATTTTAAAATTATATTCATTACATGTATAACATTCATTTTACATTATAATCATATTATCAATATATTTATTTCATATCATCTTGATTTTATGATATTATGATTTTTTTATTTTACAAGTTATATCGAATAACTTTAAAAATAACAGTGTTTTTCTAAAATAGTATTTTCTAAATTATTGTTTTATATAATCAATTTTTATTGAAGAATATAATTATATTTATGAATTATTAAACTATTGTTAAAAACCCGAAAAACACTGTATACAAGACATTATGCATGATTAATAATTATCATTAAATAAATTTTTAATAATTACATAAAAATTATTTATCATCATTTTTCACAAATTATTGATTGTAAATTTTATTAATTTATTTATAAAATCTATCTTTTTCTAAAGAGCATCATTTGTATAATTCAAATATTTTTCATTTATTTTTATAATTTATTATAATAAAAATATTATAATTAAATTTTGTGTCTAAAATAGTATTTTGTTAATATGTTTTACAGGTATATTGCGGTACAAAGTGGACTTTCAGAGTATGCAGTTGGAAGATGTTGAAGTTGATACTTTTGATCTGGATGATTATTAAATCTGTGACTCAACAGACAGTTATTTTAGCTTCAGAGGAAAACATAAGTATATGTTCTCCCTTGCATCATATTTCAAGAGAGGCACATAGAAGGACATGTTTATAAAATTTATTATATGATGCAACACACACATTATGAAATTATTCATTAGATTTCATTCAAGCAATTCATAGTCGATACACAAAGGTGAAAAGCACAAGACGTGACGCGCCGATAATCCATGTCCATGATGAAAAAAAGGCAACTCGAAGACTGTGACACTTAATTAAGCCAGCTTGATACCTGCCTATCTCACACAACATTATCTTGTATTACAGTTACATTCTTTAATTATTCACATGGATTTATTTAAATAATAATTACACGCGTTACAGTGCTGAATATGTTTGTACAGTACACGGTTGGAGATATATCATAATTTTGTAACAAATTAATGTTATCATCTCGTCGTAAATTTTACAATTGAGAAGAAGAAAAAAACGTAAAAAGATACTCAAATAGCATGAGGATGAATGTAGCGTTATTTTTGTTCAGATACAATCATGGATAAGCTGTAATAAACTGATTATCATGAACATGAAGTTGCGTATCGTGTATTCTATACCGATTACTAAATTCATATGAATAATGAAGAGTTCTGTATATAGACTTAAATTTTTAATGGCACTGTTGCCTTAGACATAAGTTAAGATCGCGTAATATCCCAGGAAAATAAAATCTTTCCGTCTCATCGAGTGATACACATATAAACATATAAGAAATAATTTTTCGTATCTACATTAACTTTGCTGGCTCTCGACTCTTATATTTTGTACACTCATAATTGTATATAACAAATTCTCCGCAAGTGTATCGAGATATATCTTTTCGATTGTTACAACGGTGCACTCTATTAGTAAAGAAGTATCTTCTGCAATATTTAAGTGGCAGTTATTGAAAATATTACAAAATTTATTTTAACATTGTTAATTTAAATTGCTTATTCATATGATGCCTTTGTAATAAATAATAATATGTATGTATAAATGTGAGAAGAATGAAACGTGCAATTTTGGTGAAGTATCTTTTATGAAATATCGCTGTATAGTAAAGAAAGGTTTGCAAATATTGTGAATCTTTTGGTGAAAATAATGTATTGTTAATTAATAGTATAATTAGATTATTTATACTATTACAACGTATGTGATGCAGGGATAAAGCTTTATGAAAACTTCATCAAAATAGAACGTTCAACAAAAATGACCTGGCTTATGGTATGTGCACAACGAATTCTAAACATGATGGTTTAAAAGTATTGTATCTGTGTATTGTCTTCAAGGCAGCGAAATGTTGAATGTCAGCTTAATGTTTCTTTAAATTTTTATATGTAAACATTCTTTCAATAGGAATCTAGATAATTATTTATTACTATATCGGTGCGATTATTTCTTCTGTTTAGCAGAAGATTATTTTAAGTATACAAGATTTAGTTCTATAATAATTCGGTAAATGTCTGAAAGAGATTAGGGAAAATCTGCGTAATATTAAATAATCTTTGGTTCTTTTTTTTTTTTTTTTTTTGTTTTTTGTATTTTTATGTAAGGTAAGAGAAAATGAGTATGCAAAAGAATGCGCATAAAAAAAAGATTAGACGTCGTTCGTACATTTCATTTAAACAAATCAATGACGTACTTAGATTATGGCTTGCCTATGATCTCTTCCATAAGCATAGTTGTATAATCTGCTAACAGATTTATAATTTTTGGCAATCTTATTCTCCTGTATTGCTACAAAATATTTTTGTTCCTTCAAATGTTACATTTATCTAGCAAGGCAATACAAAGATGTAATCGTTATAAGTTTTGCTTAATCAAATTTTTCAGAATATGAACTTATTATTACCTCATATTTTATATGTATTGTACGTATAAAGTACATTTGTGCTATGTCCTAAAAATTTTAACTCATCTTTACTGAAATGAAATGAATTATGAACGGTAAAAATATGAATTTTAAAGTTACGTAAAAAATTGTTGGCCGTACCATGATACACGTTCTATTAACCCCAGAAAGACCGAGGCTTGAATCATTATATAAAAAACTAATGAGAGATATATTAAGTCCACCTAAGTTTTTCATGTTTTAAAAGCAAATATTTTAATAGGATGAGTAATTTTGGATTATTCGGAATATGAATAGAACATATTAATATTTTGTATGAGATTTTTCATTAATAATTATTTAACCCAATCGCGATACATCAAAATTTAATTATTCACAAGTTTCGTATATTATTACACTATTTGAATGATTTTTACATATATGTTGTTTACAATTAGTACAATATTGCTTTGCCTTGGATAAGTTATATTTTATTCTTTTATTTCGCTTCCGATAATATTTGTAGCAGCATCCTTTTCCTGTTGGTTTTTTTCTTTTATTTTTTTTCTTTTTGCTGTTATCTCCTTTATTTTTTCTATATTATTTATTGTATGCTTTTGCAATCTTGTTAAATTCGGATTCCTATCTAATTGCTTTTGAATCAATTCATTGAATAACTCTTGTAAGAAAATCTTTTGTGTGTTCATTTTTATTTATCATCTAATTTAGATTTACTATTATAAATAAGGAATATGTATTTATAATATGAATATGTAGACCAGCAATATTTAATAATATATAAAACAGAGAAAAGTCATCTCCGATTTCCGCGGAATTATATGAATATATTCTTGCCATTTGGTTTATGACAAATTCCTCTTCGTTGCAATGTAAGATATATTGATATCTATTTTTCTATCAATATATCTAATTATCGATTTTTCTATGCGAATCCTTAAACGATAATAAATAAATTTTTAGAAATTTTTTGAATGAAAAAACATTTTTCAAATTTTGTAAATAGTGGACTCGAGGAGGGTCTTTACCCCTCCTCCCCCGGTCTTTCTAGGATTAATAATATTTTGTGAAGTGATAAAGAGGGATATTGAAATAATGACAAAATAATAGTTTTCAATATTTAAATAATTATTAAGATGAAAAATATTTTAATTTTGAAAATAGAAATCATTTAAATAACAAAAAATTATAGTATTAATTTATAATATATTCTTTAATTTTCAGGAAATTAATTCATATGTCATTACAGTTTTATATTTTTTTAATACGTAATTTAAAAATATATTATTTATTTTACTATTAATAATACAAAATTGTGAAAAATACAATTTTGTAACATTAACAACTATAAAATATTTTGATGTGCTTCTTCAAAAACACATGAAATTTGATGATTAAACATTATTTCCAATTTCTCTTTTTTTCACGTACGCATTACAAAATTTATACACAAAGAAAATTAAAACGTATCGTTAATATCAAAATTTAATAAGAATCTGAATAGAATAGAATATGAAAAAGTGAATAAGAAATGAAAATACAGTCTATGTTTCTCATGCAAAGAAGTTGCTATTAGAACCCGAAAATGTCACAATAATATTTGTTTTCACAGAGCATATTTAAAATAATTACTTAAAAATATTTTAAGATTGTAAAATAAAAAAATAAATAATAATAGTAATAAAGAGAATAAAAAAATAGTTTTTAACATTTTTGCTCTGTGATAATTTCACAATAAAGGATATTTCCGGGTTCCAATTATAACGTCTTTTTACATTTTTGTTAATGTTCTCCCTTTTTATACATATACGTAAATTTTATTTATATGAAATGACAGAAAATTATCTTTATATTATTGGTAAAATATTTGCCTATAAGATGAGGTGCTGTTGAATAGAAATTTGAATAGAAAAATGAAAAAAAATTGGCATAATACAATAAAAAAGAAAGTTCTCATAATCATTGAAATACATTTTATACCATTTTATACCTAATTTTAATATGTACAATTGGATGGGTATATTACATGTATTTATTTTTTTAATTGCTTTTAAAATAACATTCGTCTTGTAAAAATATTAAATTACATTTTTATATGTACATATATACATATATATATAGAATTTTCATTAATATAAAATTTTTTTTTATTTTACTTTTGTATATTTTACATATATATTAAAAAAGTATAAATATTAAGGATAATAAAAACAAACAAATAGAATTATCTATATTTATAACATAGTATACAAATTAAATAGATATAAAAAAAATTTTTCAAAAAAGATGTCACTCTTTTATATATATAATTTATAAATTTTCAATTAACATGATACTATTTGTTGTCATTTTCTGGTACCAAGAGATTAAGATTGGCATCTTTGATCATTGATCCTATATAAGTTTCTTCGTCTCCGCGTATGGATAATGCGGTGACAGAAACATTTGTTTTTCTTTCATCCATCATTGCAGCTTTTATCCAATTTGAACTGCTGCATTTTATACAACTATGCGAAGGTATTCTATCTAAACTTACAGTTCTATTTCCACAATCTGCACATTTAAAGAATCTTTTTATTGCATCAATAACGCGCAATGGATGTTTTTGATCCTTGCACATGTCAGAAGCAGAAAATGATGTATATTTACAAATTAAACATTTAACAGCTTTACAAGGAATTTTATAGGTAGTTAACATTTTCTCTTCTAATTTTTCTTTCATTTCCAGTTTATTGAAATATTTATCTTTTTCTTGCTCATAAGATTTTTCAATAAGATCAGTATGAGTAGATTTAGTTTGCATTATTTCTTTAAACTTATCTGACAAAATATTTGGTTTTTTTATTTCTTGCTTTTCATCATTTTCTGGCTCTCTTGGTCGTTTTTTTCCCCTCTCTAACTTTTCTTCTTTATTCAAACGTACTTTATTTGGATCTTTAGGTTTAATTTTTCCATTTTCTTTAACCCATTTAACTGCATTTCTTTTAGCATTATTAATTTGTTTTTTAGTTATAGGTTCTGACAAATCTATTGTTCCTTTATGACAACCAATACCTAAATGAGGATTTGAAGAAAGCATACTTAAATCTTTTTTCTCTATATTATTATTTTTGCAGGAATTTAGAGATGTTTGAGATAATACAGCAACTTTCCAACCTCTTGATTTATTTATTTGTTCAAAATTTTTTTTCAATTGTTGTTCTGATATTCCTACTTTTTCATTTTTATCTCTTACATTATTTAAATTTTTATTAATTAAATTATCATTCTTTTGACTTCCTGAAAGTAATGCTAACCGTTTAGCATCTTTCTCTTCTAATTTTTTACTTTTCATTGCAACAACAGCATGAAATTCAGGCATATTGTTCATTGGTTTCTGTTGGTGTCGTGTCTTTTTTTTAAACATATCTATTGAAAAATTTTGAGTATTACTAAATGATTGTAATTCTGCTCTAAGAGAACATTTTTTATATTCCTTTTTCACATGATATAAACAAAATTCACAGCGACTAATATTTACAATAGAATTACATTGTTCTCCATTTTTTTTCTTTGATTTGCATTTTCCCATATCTTTAGATTTACCAAGAATCATGATCCTTTGAGGATTATCAATTGCTAATGTAGCTAAATCAAAATTGTCTTTAGATTCTAAGATATTTGGATTAAGAATACCTATCACAGTTCCAATAGTTGTTTTCCAAAGAGTTTTATGAGCATTACTAAACATAAAAAGGCTTATAGTGTTTATATTTTCAGATAAATCACTTATTTTCCATATAGAATATGAAGTTCCCTTTTGAGAAGTTTTTGGCAAAGATTTATTTATTAATATTCCTGCAATTACCCAATCTTTTTCCACATTTTCAGAATTAAGATGATATTTTATTTTTGATACTGTAACTGGTATTTTATCAATCATACGTGCTTTTAGTTCTGCTGAAGAAACAATTGGATTAATGATTCTTAATCCAAAAAATGGATCACTATAAATATCTTTAGAAATAACTGTGATATTATTATTCATATTTACATTTTTATTAATTTTTGTTGCACTAAAATCAAATGTTTTACTATTTGTTTCACATGATAATGATTTATCTTCATTCTTTTTAATAGTTTCTTTTTTTAATAAAGATTTTATATCACGTCCATAATTAGAATACTTTTGTTTCTCAAAATAACGTCTATCTTCATCATCTGAAGAATCAAGTATATCATCATGAATTTCACTTTTCTTTTGAACATTAATAGATTCATTTTCATTATTTAATTTAGAAGTATTATCTAAAAAATTAAAGTCTAATTCTTTCAGAGTTTCTTTTGGAGGTGATTTATTATTTTCTTCTACTTCACTATTAGCTAAAAGATCATTTAAAATATCACCTATATCAGAATCACTATCATTATCCATTTTAAATATCTAAAATAAAATTATTTATTATATCTTTCTATATGAATAAGATTATCTATTTTATTTATTTAGCTATAAAAATATATGATTAACCTTATTACTTACAATTTAAAAAAGAAAATATTTACTTTTAATGCAATATAATAATTATAAAATAAATTATTAAACAAAGTTATTTTTTTAATATTATCAGTTTGCTAGCTTAATGAGCCACTTAAGCATCAAACTATATAAGTATTAAATCACTTCTAGCCACTTTTCGCGCCATTTCTTAATAAGAGAACAAGTCAAGTTTTCATTTATACGATTGAAAATTTATTTCTTTTTATTTATAAGTAAATATGAATATAAAATTTCTTGTAATTTGCCTAGTTAATATTATAAATAGTAAATATTAAACTTTTCTTGAATAAATGTAGTGAATATTAATTATTCAAAAACTGGACAATATATAGATAACCAATAAAATTAAACATTCAATATTCGATAATAGATAATGTAATATCTGCAATTTTAAATATTGTTACATTATATAATTAGAATAAAAAAATAATTATTTCAAGAAATTTAATATTTCAATAAAGAAATTGATGATTCAATATTTTTATCAAAAAACTATCAATTTATTATTTAATAATAATGTTTGGTTTTACTTGAAGGAAATTATATTATATCATCATCAGTATACTTGAGTTGAAAATCAGATATATAGGTTAATTTAGAGTATCGAGGTTTATTTATATATACACATATATTAACAACTTTTTACGAAGGTTTTTTTTCAATTAATTTATAATATGAAAATCGATAACGGTCATATAAAATTTTTACAAACATTACAATTAATTTAAAGGATATTGGAATATTTTTTATAAAAGTAAAAATAATATTAAAATTCGTAAATGATTTTTGAGAATCATATTTTTTTTTTTTTTTTTATATACTTCAAGATAATATATGATTTTTGGAATTTATATATATTTGTATATTGAAAGAAATTTATGATTTTTTTATTATAATTTTATTATTACAAACAAATTATTAAAAATTAAGGCAATATGTACAAATTTATAGAATTTTATATTCGAAATCTTATTTTATTCAATAATAAAATCATGAAAATAATGAAATAGAATATTTCTTAAATCACTATGAAATATTATTTTAAATTTATGTTTTTGAACATATGAATGATTATCGAGCGAGATAAATAACACGACATGCATGTTCGTCTTAAATTTATGCCGCAGTAATTATAGTATGCAAGTTATTTCATATTTTTTTACATAAGTTATCATATGCAAAAATAATTATATTTAATTACTATTATTTTGTGTTTACATGATGGAATTAGACTAAAATCATTTAACCGTGTATCTATGATTATTCTGTATTGCAGATGTGGAACCAACGATCGATTCAAGCAATAAGTTATCAATAAAACATTTTCTTCAATATATGTCTATCGAATCTAGCATACAATCATATTATTTTCTATATTGTGATTAGAGTTTCTTTCATAGCGAGAATTTTTTTATTTATTTTCTTTTATTATTTTAGAAAAATCATTTCTTTTTAATATATAATTTTCAAGAAATGCTCATCTTATATCTTTTTATTTTCTAACGAATTGCATTGATTATTTATAGTTCAATACAATTTCTTCTTTAAAATAAAGGGAACGAAATTAAACATTTATCTTATCAATATTAAAAATTTGCTTTAAAAAGAATAACTTCTTGAAAAATTTCATTTAAAGTCATTATTGTTTTTTAAAATTTCAACATTGAAAAATAAAAAAGAAAAAGAAATAGAAAAAAATAAAAATTACGTGTTTCATCGTGTTGAATCATCTTTCTATGAGAATTTTTACTAAATCTAGTTCGAAATAATCCACGATACGAACACCAATAACATTCTTCACTTGCTAATCTCAAGGAAAGCAGCGTATGACTTCCACCTGTCATGGGGAAAGCATATGGTTACAAAGTTTTTCGAGTTGAACGGAACAACGCGCAGTGGTTCTCTCTCTTTCTCTCATTTCATTCGAGAGTTCAATACTACTTGCATTCTATGGAAAATACAGATGTCTATTGTAAAAAAATGAATTGAATAAATGTATTTTAGTTTTGAATATTATCACTTGACAATGTTTTGTATAATTAAAAATTTATATTTCTCCAGGAAATGAGTAACAAAATTAAATATAAAATAGAACGTACATATTATTTTTTCAATATTTAAAATTAAAAAACTAATTGTAAAATAATTTCTAAAAATAATCTCTTTTTGAAATTAAATATATTTTTTATAAATATTCATATTTCTTTTAGATTCACTTTAGATATCATAAAATATTAATATTTCTAAATAAAATATTCAAAAAAATAATATAGATATTAAAAAATAAAAATCGTTTACACATACGTGTAAACTTAATGCATAAAAAAGGAAATTTATGACTCGTAGGTATCAATTTACAGTCGATCGATTAACCTCAGTGTATATTGTTGAACGCGTCGCGGTGAAACGCGCGCTCCTCCATATAACGTATAACTAACCATAGCAACGTTATTATCAACACAATTTCTACGAAGTTTCGTGGAATTAAAAAAAGCGCGTAACAAAACTGGAGAATTCCTCATTTTTGTTTCCTTAACGAACTCGGTCATATCTCCATTTGATAGAGCCAGAATTCACAATTTTCTCGCTCGGAGTCACCGCCAGTATCGTCAGAGGAAAAGGTAAAATAGGGAGGGCGAGTCCCCTCTAGGCGCGTGCCTTGCCCCTTGATCCCCTCATCATACCTCGTGCGTGACCCCCACCCCTGTATACCACCCACTCACCTACCCCGACCCAGTAGCCCGTGGGCCACCCCACCTCGCCCCACCCCAACACCGACAGCGATTCGACCCCGCGCGCGCACCCGTCTCAAGCGTCGTGTTCGTTCGCAGTCCGTCAGTCTATCGGCAACCTGCGTACCAGTCGTGTCGCAGTGCTTACGTAACAATATATTATTATTATTCTTACTTGCCTGACCGGTGTGTTGTTCATTTATAAATCGCGGTCTACGTTTTTCGTTTGTCCCTCGCCGAGTTATTCGTCTTTCCTGCTCGGTCTCTCTAATTGGTTAATCACCACACAATTGTATACATATACAGAGTCAATCAACATAACATATATATACATATCTTTCAATCTACTACATAAACGCAAAGGAATATAATACAAATACACATAAAAAACATACGACGAACGCACGCGCTGCGCTGGCGAAAAACGCGTTTTACGTCTAACGCGAATTGTCGTTACCTGCTTCTTGTCTGCATACATCGTCGCGCGGATACATCCGGATCCAGATCGTCGGTCAACGTTCAACCGTGCTCATCCATCTCCGTTCACGTGATCGATTAATACGCGATTAATCAGTATCGTTTAATAAACGTGAATATAACGGAATACGTGAAGAGAGAGCGGATTATACCTCGCTGCTGCATGGGCTACTACCTGCCGGTAGATGAACAAGTGTCGTCGACGAACTACCACGGTAGAGCACGTTCTCTGGGTTTGGCCCTCCTCCACGGGCACGGTGTATCGATTGCTCTAAAATAGACGCGTGGGAACACCTGCAGGCTACATACACATTCTACCTACAACTCAGACCATCTCGTTCTCTCTCTAGCCCTCTCTCTCTCTTACTTCTCTCTGCATCGGTCTTTCCTGACGCCCTTGCAGCGCGTGACAGGTGCAACGAGAGTAACGGTAGCAGCACCGCGCTGTTATAGGGCTGGAGGTGGAGGAGGTAGTGACGGTGAAGGTGGAGGTGCAGGCGACGAAGAAGAAACATAACAGGAAGCGGAAGAAGCGAAACGACGAAAAGGAAGAGAGAGAGAGAGGTAGAACGGAAGAAAGTAGAACCGACACACATACATACGTGCGCGCGCGCGTTTAGATACGGAAAGGAAAGGAGTAAAGGTGGAGAAGGAGGAAGGAGGCGAAACGCCTGGGTTTCTCGCGAGAAAAGGGTTATTTCCAGTGATACGTCCTGGAGGCGCCTGTCGTCTTCGCCGGTACAACCATAACGCCGCCCGCTTTAAAACGCCCGAGACGGGATACGGTGGACTCATCGCCGCCACCCGCTCGAACCGCAGCCCCCGGAAACCCCGGACCATCCAGCAAACTCGCTTGCATCATGGACGCACCGCTCTCACAGAGTATGGACTCCGTCAACACGGTGGCCACCGGTGAAGACGAGGTACGTACACTAACTACACCGTATATTGTATCGTTAACGATGCGCCTGTGCATTACGCACGATCCTCTCTCTCTTCATATGTACTAAAGCCGCCGATCGCTTCCTCGTTTCACCCTTCTCTCTTTCTCTTCATTCGTCGCGGCAAGACCGCGCGTGTAAGTACTTCTATACATTTGCATCGAGCATCCGACATACTTCCTTCCTTCCTTCCTTTCTTCCTTCCTTTCCATCACCTTACCACGGTTACTCTTTGTCTCACTTCCACACTCGCCATATTGCTTGTTTCTCTCGCGCCCTCTTTGTGTACTTCTCATTCCGTTTTTCTCTTTCTTTCTCGTTTTCTTCCCTCTCTTTCTCTATCTCACTTGCTCTTTCCAACGCTTTCCTCTTCCGTCCATCGTATCTCTCCCTCTTCGTCCCTCTTTTCATAGTTTGCACGTCACGAGACGCGCAGGCGCATTATACGCGCAAACTTTACGTGTGTATCATGTTGTGCTGCTAGTGCACATACATATAGTTATATACATATATGCGACTGAGTTCCGCGTAAACGTGTGTATAGAGAGCGGTAACGTTTGGAACGTGTATATGGTTAGAGAGAAGGCGGGAATTCGATCGTGCACCACAATACACAGTGTGTGCCGCAGGTGACTCGTTTCCATCGTCCGCTCGATCGGACGGTAGGATGGCTGGCTAGGCTGGTTAGCAGGCCGGCTTCCTTCCTCACAGCCAAGCACCTGAGAGAGTGACGCGCCATGCCAGACCACGCTTGTTATTGATTTTTCCGCAACGCGAGAGCCGCGGAGAGCTAGCTATACGCTCTGTGTCACATCATATGCTGTTGGGTTATGGTTTGTCACACGACATATGCATTATCAGAGGCTACTTACATATATAACTGCGACCGCGCGAACCTAACTACTGGAGTTATATGAATGACGCGTATACATATATTGAAAATATATCTGCGCGTTTTATTCAGTATACATATTAAATCTAACGGAGTGCAAGATCGTGTTCACTTGTGATGTATTCGATCGATCGTTCAAATTCAACAATTATTGCAAGCACCTGTTTTATGAACATTTCTCAATTCTTGATCACCTTTTACGAGATTTGTTGTTCTCTTTATCCGCATTCTGGATTTTGTTTTATTAAAGCTGTTCTTTGCTCAAATACACAATTTAAAGTATATATTGATTAAAGTATATATTATCAATATTTGAGAAACGCAATGATATGTGAAATTTACACAAGATGTTAAAGTAATGCATACATCGGTATTTTTACGATTAAACATCAGTGCTCCTTTGTAGGGTATCTTTTATATTCTATTCCATTTTAATTGATTTTACATCGTTCTAACGTTCACGTGACTCTTTTACCTCAGAGGGACAAAATGGAGTCGCTACTGACAATAGGATTGGATCAAAGACGATTTATTATTCACGATACAGAATTTCTCTTACTGCTACCATCATTGTCGAATAGAAAAAAACTTTTCCATAAACTTTTTATCTGTATGTTATATTCAAATGCTTTATACACGATCGATCGAAATTGAAGAGGAAATTAAAAACATTTAAAAACTCGTGTTCGCGAATTAGATTGCTGTTAATTTCGCGAAGGATGTTACACAATTATGTGAAATATAGTGATACTTATTTTCGTCCAAGAACAACATTCACAGAATTATTCCTGGCAGTTTGTTTTCTCGTGTTTTCAACACGTTGTCTCTGATAAATCAATAATTTTTCCGTTACGCATTTTTGCTCGATACTCTTTGGATTCGGTCACGTTTCGTACGATCGGACGATCGCGATTTCAGCGCGGAGAAAATCACGATTTTCTCGCTTGACCGGCTTTGGACAATTTGTCCTTTAGATCAGGAAGAGTGATCCATCGAATGGAAACGAGCAACTCGAGAGCAGGAAACTTGACCATCGTTTTGCTCGATTTCCTTTTATGATTCTTTTCCGCGTATGTTCTTCCGCATTGTTAGTAAGCAGGAACATCAATGCTCAATTAAAGGATTATCGATGAAGATCGATTTATTCGTTGGATCGTTAGCATTTGGAAACGTGAAAGTTAATGGATGTTGTTAATGATCGACATTATCTTTTGTAATTACAGCCTGTTAAAAGATAACGATAATTTAACAGTATTTAATGATATTTTAATTCAATTTTTTTTAATAACATTCTTTGCCAGCATAACTTCGTTGATAAATAACGAATATTACGAGATCAAAATGTTTTTGTAAAAATTTATTTTGAAAAATAATTAATGGAGAAATTACAATAAAATTAAATTTTTTTAATGTACGAAATGAATTTATAATACATTTTGAGCGCAATTTCTGAATAGGAATAAAAATTATATAAATACGAAATTAAACTCGCCTTTTGTATATTAAATTGTAAAAGCAGAATCGGATTTATTTTATTATTCTATGCTGTAACAGCACGTAAAATATAGACGCACGTAATTAAATATCGTACAAAATGCATTCTTTAGGACAGATGAAAAAATATACACTAATATTCTTTTCAATTATCCTTGATTTTTCACTTTTCACGATTTTACATATAATTGAAAATTTAATGAAAGAATTAACTTTATCTCAATATCCCAACAATATCATTTTATGATAATAACCAGTCATAAATTACATTAAAAATTCACTAAAAAATTCATTCCATGTATCATGTATGAAATCCGAGTTCTTCAACTCTGTACTTTTCACCTGTATTCAATACCATGACTAGTGGAATAAGATATCGCAAAAAAAAAACTTGGTAATCGTTCATAAATCACCAAAAAAAAAACCCTTAAAAAAAATCTTTTTTCCCCTTATATCAGCTACAGTAACATGATAAAATTCGAGTTTCTCGACTCGACAGTTCACCGCAACCAACGGAATAAGCCGGTGAAGAGCGTATAATAAAAATTATATACTCTGAATCTCGGGATCCTCGGGTTCGTAATTAAAATTTAGCCAGTGATCTTGAGATAAAAAGCGTGCACAGCTTTTTTTTTTTTCCCCAGTTGGGAAGGGAGAAGTTGCGTGATTTTTACCCTCTGCTCGCCACTGTTGGTGGTTCCTCTTCGCGTTTGTCGCCATCGAGAAAAACCACGATGGGTAGGGGAAAAATTTAATTCTCGCTATGCAGTTGATAAAAAAGATATTTGTTGCGTGATGAGGCCACGCTTGGATGTAACGAGGAAACGTTTTTACATTTCCCACGACCGTTTCGCAGCGAAAATTCACAAAACAAAATGGCCACTATTTTCTTTCCGTTTCTTTCATTCGTTATAGAACGAAAAAACAATCGAATACGAATACTTTTGAATTTACGTATCAAGTGTTTGTTAATTAATAATAGATGTTGGGTAATATATTTTTTTTTTTACACAGATCAGTATAAGTATATTTAAATTTATTTAAAAAAACTCTTCTACGTTGCATTCTAAGCGTTTTATATGTTCTTTTTGTCGAAGTGACAAAAGGATGAATAAAAGTGCAGTGCACAGCAATAATTAGAGATTACCTCGATTTAATTGTGAGAGCAATGAAAAATCGATGAAAGTGGATTATATTCAGAATTTAATAAAAAAAAAAAACGCATCCATGAATGTAATTATGGAATAAAAAGTAATTAAAATATTTATATACGTTTCATTTGAATTTGACTTAAGATTCCAATATTAAATATTTGTTCTAAATTTTCTTCACTTTGTTGTATTTTTTCTTTTGTTTTAGATATAGAAAGATCGAATTTTACGCGCTTTGAGATTCGCTATTAGCTTGTTTAAGCTTGGTTTTGTATATGTACTGTAGGAAATTTACAGCTTTTGTACAATCAAGTGAGGCTTGTTTAATCGTAACGAGATAAAGATACTTGCCTCGTTCGTTTACGAACATGGTTACATTTCGAGATTAATTTTTCAAAGAATAACATTTCATTCTTGTTAATATTATTTTAGAAATATCTATAGACTTAACTTATTCTTTATTTATAATTGTAGATTATTGTGCAAATTAATATCTATCATTTATTCAATATCAATAATTTTAAATTGATAAATTAATGATATTTTAGAAATCTGAAAATTTTGTAATTAAAATCAGAATATGTATCATACGAAATTTATAATTTATAGTGCCATATTTTTATTTTCATAACATCAGATTTTTACAATCATAAGAAATTATTGTTAAAAGAAATAAAATTGTACTTTGATTAAATCAGTATCTAAATACTAAATTATACAAGTATACAAGTGTACATTTTATAATTTTATGTAAATACATTTTAATATTGATTGCAAAAATTTAAAATCAATGAATTTTTCATTAATATTAATTATCAAGATAATTATAATAACGTGAAACGTTAGTTTGATCTTTTACACGTGCAACAATTTACTATGAATCATAAATTTTCATCTATCAAACTCGATCCATTCACCGCTTTTCAAGAACAAAACTGCTAATTTTATCATTGATCCAAAACTATAATCAGCCCGAATTAATAGATCCTATTCGACGCTTATTAGAAATTATACATCTGATCAATTATCGAAACAAATTTGCCCGATATCATATTCTGAATCGAAGTGATAAATTACTTGAAGCGAATTAAACACCGGCTAATACGAACACTCGATATCACGTATGATAATTGGAAGGCGGAAGTGGCGATCTCCGGATATCAATTCGAGGATTTAAACCGCTTAACGAACCCTTGCACGGATCAATTTCAAAAATAAGTTCCACGCGGTGGAACTTTGATTCGCGGTCAATTAGTCTCGAACGAGCTCGTTGGAATTTTTAATGTTCTCTCCCGGAAGTCTGGGGAGGAGAAACACGTGGAACCGATTTTCGCGATGAAGGAAAGAAGAAATTGAAGTTCAAGGTATTACTTTTAATACCAATCGTTCCTTCGATGAATGAAATTTTGGAATGTTTGCATATCACGAATGAATGATTTTCCATC